GCCATCGCTCTTAGGTTGGAGGCCATCGCTCTTAGGTTGGAGGCCATGGCTCTTAGGCTGGAGGCCACCTCTCTTAGGTTGGAGGCCATTAAAGTGCTTCATCTTGTTTCAATTCTAATTACAGTGTAATTCTAATTCTATTGAATTCTTGTTTCTAATAGCTTCTTGTTACTGGTAGTAAGGCCAGGAGCCCCTAGTAGCGATGCCCTTTATTCCTAGTGACGTCAAATGTACCAAAGTTTGCCGAGACGCATCTGAGCGAGTCTCGGGCCTATGGCTCGCGCTGCGCCATGTGGGCCATGTGCCACTGAGACATACAGGACATGTTGAGTCTTGTTACATCCGTTCAGACATTCTTTGAAAGCCCTGAGACGTGCTCCAAATACTCAATAATGTTCTACATGTGTTGCAATAGTGAGGAAGCTGCAAGCCCAAACAATGACAGTGGGAGCACAAGCAACCATGACGGGCAAAATGTGGAGAGCGCTTTCTTATCACTTCTTACATACTAATTCCCCCTTTCCCAGTTTTGCTGTTATTTTTGGCTGGTCATGTTCGGTCTTGGGTGCCTCACAATCCCGGGCTCTTGAATGAAATACGACGAGGGCACTTCAAGGAAATGTTTTTCTCAAAGTGCCCGCTGCCCACTCTGTTTTTGTTCGCCACATAAGGGGAAGAATGAATGGTCAGAACGATCCGGAAGGATCAGGAAGGGTCTGTCCCATCGCTATTAGAAGGAAAAGTAAGGAACAGGGAGAAGGATGCCATTCCCGATGCCCTTTGTTCCTAGTAGCGATGCCCATTGCTCCTAGTCCAATGTGGGCCTGATCCAAGGTCTCCCGCAGCAAATGGCCACCTGCGGCCGCAACCGCCACATTGAGCCTCGGCATCGGGTCGGTGCATCTTCCAGCAAAGGCCGAGGCATAAGGATGAGTAGAGGGTTGGGTAGGCCGTCAGTAGAGGTAGGTAGCTGGTAGTAGCTGGGTAGCTGCTACCTGCAAGTAGCTACTACCGACAGGACGCAGGATAGCTCACGCTTCTTCAAGGAAGCCCCCCCCGGCCGCCCTAAAGGCAGCGGGGGAAGCTTCCTTGAAGAAGCGCTCGCACTAGTAGAAATGCCCTTGTTCCTAGTAGCATTCTTGTTACTAGTAGCGATGCCAGGAGCCCCTAGTAGCGTCTTTGCTCCTAGTCCACTAGGTGGGGTAGCAGGAAGTCACTAGTTCACTAAGCTACGCCACCAAGGCCAACGGGCTGTTTGGCGTTCGCTTAGCATTCCATCGTGGCTTGCGACTCGCAGCAGCTTTGACCCAATCAAAACACGGAGCATCTTCGGAGCTCTGCAGCAGCAAAAAAGATGCACCGGCAAAATGGGAGAGATACCAATCCAGAAACCAAGGTTGATGTCACGACAGAGATTGACCTGTTGCCATGAAAGGATGAAAAGGATCAGGTCAAACCCCACCCCAAAAATAGAGGATGGGGTCGCTCAAGACCGTTTGAAGTTAAAGACTGGCAAATGGTTGGTTTGGCTTGATGGGCATTGTTAGGCTTCAAGCATCAGAGCCAATATCTGCCTTTTCCTCATGTTGTACAACGATGCATCTCGTTGCCCACAGGCACTGCTGCCTATGTTTCACACTGAGGCAATCGCATCCAGCTTTCACCTGTGTCAGGCAAATCGACCTTTCCAAGTTTAGCATCGCAATTGAAAAGAGAGATGCTAAACTTGGAAGAGATGCTAAATACCTTGATGCATTTAGCTCGAAAGAGAGATTTAAGATACCAATCTTCCGGAAAAGTACAGTCCAACTTAAAGGAGACTGGCTCAGATATAACTCAGCCATAAACGAGCTTGAGAAAATTCTCCATGATCCGCTTAAATCCGGTGGAACCTGGTGGAGCCCGGTGGAACCCCCGTTGAAACGTTAGTCCATTTGTGCGCCTTCAGCCTTCCACAGCTATAGATGGAGTGGCATGGCTGGTGTACCAGGCACAATTTCGCACAAGAGACAAGTCATGACCAGCCCGATATCTGAGCAAGGACGCTACTAGGGGATCCTGGCCTTGCTACTAGGAGCAATGTTCGCTGCTAGGAGCAAAGGGCATCGCTACTAGGAGCAAGGACGCTACTAGGAGAAGCTACTAGGGGCAAAGAGGTAAAGAGTCTGTCTAGGAAACTCCATGAGTCTCCACCTCCACAAAAAAGGTGACTTAATTAGTTGGTCTGTTGCCGACATGCTGCTGTTAGCTTGGTCTGTTGCTAGTTTGGTCTTTGTTGACTAACTACACTTGAAGCCATCCACAGCAACAGCGGCCGATACAACAGGAGCAAGGACGCTACTAGGCGCTCCTGGCCGTATTACTAGGAGCAAGAAGCTACTAGGAGCAAAGGGCATCGCTACGAAGTGGACAGGCTTTAACGAGTCATACTTTCTCAGAAAGACATCAGAAACCTGCAAAAAGGAAGCACGGTCTCAGCTTGCTTTGCTCGTGATGACCTGCAACTTGGTTCATCAGTTTTTCCGATCTTTTTTCCCAGGCTCGGAACAATAATCATGCAATCACGAATTCTCCAAAGCGTTCACCCGAATGCAATCAAATGACTCCTAGCACCAAAAAGAATCGAATGAGACATGAACTGGTCACGTGCAAAAGCACACAGTCAGATTTGAGCACCAGTCAGAACCCGTCCCCGTCCATTCCATGTTCAACCATTTGGACCTACTAGCGATTGCCTCCCCATACAAGCGATGGCCTCCAATCTAATAGCGATGGCCTCCCCCTACTAGCGATGGACATGTCAGAAAGTGAACTTTCAGAACAACCACTTCTGTCCTTTTGGCTGCCAGTCTAATACTGCGAAGCCTAAGTAGGGCATGACAGGAATGTTTCACACACTGTGCGCAAACTGTGAGAAGGCTTTTTGAACCCGAAATTGTCAGCCCACACTGGCTTAGTTGCTTAGTTACTTAGTTGGTTTTGCTCATGGTTGGCTTATCTTGCTGCAAAGAGCAGCTTGTGCATCTGAGCCCTTGTCCAAGGATGCTCATCTTCGTCACACCTCCAGTGTTGAAAGTTGTTCATTCGAACGTCAACACAACTTGCAAAGTAAATTGCCTTTGGAATTCAAGAGTGAAACCACACCAAACTGACAGAGTGACAAGCACTACAAAGCTCTTGTTTGTCAGGCTCTCGCTCAACCCAAGGGTGGTCGTCCTGCCTGAGGATGGGAAAAGGTCTGAACATTCTGCTTGCGCTATGAGCCAGTTGTCACCCCATACCATAATTCAATTGATCTGCAACCCGCCAAGTTTATCGCCGGTTTCCCCGATCTTCAGTGCACGTTGTGCTGCTCAAGCTGGCAGATTCCAGGCATCTTCGAACGGCATTGAGTCCACGGCGGCAGGAAATGATCATCACCCCCATCTGACCTATGGTAGAGATGCCAGAAATATGATTTTGACTCGTCTTGAATTGTTTTCTGAGCCGATCTTTGAAGACATATAGAATCTAACTTACTAGCAGCTAGTAGCATAAGGAATCTAATAGCGATGGCAATGAAGACATAACATATGAGCGTTGCCAAACAATCTAGAGACTGCACGGTACTTGGGAGGGATACCATTTTGGAAATGAACAACTTCACGCCTCAGCCGTTGCAGCAATTTTCTCGTTGAAGGAAAGTTCTTAATTTGCTCCTAGTAGCGTCCTTGCTCCTAGTAGTACAGCCAGGAGCTCCTAGTAGCATCCTTGTTCCTAGTAGCGATGCCCTTTGTTCCCAGTAGCGTTTCTCGTTGAGGGATGCATTCAATAACCTTTGTTGCTTGTGTGCTGTGTTGAAGAGTATTGTGGCCCACAAGTTCCATGCTACTCCGCAAAGACTTTGCTTTTTTTAGCCCGCCCCTCTATTAAGTAGGCGCCTAATTACTTAATTAAGTAAGGGAGCAAGCTACTAGCTACTTAAGCTACTACTCACGGATGCAGGATAGCTCACGCTTCTTCAAGGAAGCTCCCCCCCGCCTAAGGGCGGAGGGGAACTTCCTTGACAGCGCTAGCACTAATGATTTGGTTCACTTAACTTGAGGAACTGGTGTGACCGAGATCTTTTTGACTGTGTCTGCAAAGAAGCAGATTGCAAGAACCAAATGCGAACTGTCCCGTTTTGTTTCATTGGGAGTCTGCAATCACGGAATGCACAATGATGACTCATGACAGTAGACCGACTTGCTGTTGCGGGAATTCTGGACGGTTCGGCATGTTGCTTTTCCAATGAAGGTAAGGAAGTTTATCTATCACTTTGTGACGGATGCAAAAAACTGCCCAGTGATGTGTAGCGACCCTATTGCCCAGCATACGTTGGACCAAAGTTTCCTGCTTTGGGTCTTGCTGAGGTTGATTGACTATCGTACAATCCAAGCTACAGGTGAGCAACACTGCAACATAGTAGTAACAAGAAGCTACTAGTAACAAGAAGAAAAGAACAAATTGCTATTAGGTTGGAGGCAATCGCTCTTAGGTTGGAGGCCATCGCTAGTAGGGTTGGAGGCTTCGCTTTATTCTCTTCAATAGGTATCCTTCAATCTGGGGATATTCCATTTGACAATCTTTTTCACCTGGGCGGCTCATAAGGGCCAATGGCTTGGAGCAAAGAAAGCTGCCTTGCTGTTGAAGGGACCCAAATGCCTTTGTTATTGTTGTTTTTTTGGCAGCTCTGATTTCTGTGGCATCTCTTCCATTTGTGAAAGGACACGGGACGAGCAACATGCTGCCAACTGAGCGTTTAACCAGCTTCCCTGATCTGTGGCGCACCTCATGTTCAAGACAACGGTGGGGCACTTTTTCTTCACAAAGGCTATTTAGGTGCAAACTCTAGGATGGAGGCCATCGCTATTGGGTTGGAGGCCATCGCTAGTAGGTGAGAGGCCATTGCTACTAGTAGCTACAAACCTTTTAGGTTGGAGGCCACCACAAAAGGTCGTCGAGGCCAGGACTCCACTTTCTCAGTTCTGGCGCCGGTGAGTTCTCTCGCTAAGACTGAGTATTTTTAGATGTATTTTTTATGTTTCTTCTTAAGTCATTGTTGGGGAAGTCTTTGAACATAACCCGTCGTTGAACATCTTCTGGTAAATCTCATTTCCAGTCTCCGTTGAGTCACTCGCCTCTCAGGTGGAGAGAAAAGAGAACGCTCCTCGACTTCGACACGATCGACACGGACTTGATGCAATTCGATTCGCATTTCTCACATCTTTGTGTTCTTTGTTTCGTTGTCTTTTAGATCTTCAGACCTTAGTTGAAGCCGTTATTTCCTGTCACAAGACTCAGCTTGCTCACCACTTCGGACTCCTTGATTTTCCCTTTGCGCCGAATTTGTGGAACAAATGCCCGACCTGCCAGCTGGGTCCGCTCGGCTCTTTTGGACACATGGATTTCGCCCTCGTTGAGCCTTCGAAGATCGAAGACGGCTTCTCCTCCGAATGGCCTGACTCATTGTGGACGCTACTAGTAACAAGGGCATCGCTACTAGTAGCTCCTGGCCTTACTAGTAACAAGAAGCTACTAGGAGCAAAGGGCATCGCTACTAGGAGCAAGGACGCTACTAGGGGCTCCTGGCCGTACTACTAGGAGCAAGTAGCTACTAGGAACCTACTAGTAGCATATATCCTTAAGAATGGGTTGTGTCTTGCAGACTGAACACTGCGAACTGCGCCTCGGTCTCCACCTCCTTTCAGTCTGCCACCGGTGTCCTTCGGCTCTTCACTCTTCAGGTCCTTCGGTCGCATCTTGTGCCGGAACAAACGATCCATGATGCCGCTCGTGATCGGTTTCGGAACGGCAGTCTCGTGGTCGCTTTCAAGCGAGGAGCCCCTAGTAGCGTCCTTGCTCCTAGTAGCGATGCCAGGAGCC